CAATTAACATTATTTTCCAAAATTTATTCAGGGGAGGCTGGAGCCATTATTTCTTTTCATCCAGGTACAGTGCTTTTGAGCTAAGTTGGGAACAACAGACTTTGGTCATTACAACCTCAGTAGCCACTTGGATGGAGCAGGAAGGATTCTAAAGCCAAATCTGCTTAACGCTTATACTTTCAGCCAGACCTTCCTGGTGTTATGCTTGAGAAGGTTAATCAAGAGTGGTGGATTTGCTCTTTACACAACAACGGAGGCTGACAACCTGGGAGTCATGATGGTCTTAGATTATAACGCCTGGAACCTCTGGCAATAAGCAATTCTAAATAAGTCTTCTGGGTATAGGACCAAGGATGAGAATACAACCTTACTTTTGGAAGGGAGTAATAGGACCCTTTGCCTTTGGGGAAGGAGAATAACTTGCACCTTCTACAGAAGATGATTAAGGCAATCAACATTTTCATTGCCATGTTAATGTGTAACAAGTTAAAAAAATTTATTTCTCAACATAAATAGCAATTAAAACCTAAGGCTTCTGCCTCTGGTTATTATTGATATTGCTAAATGAATACATAAATAAAAAGATAGATTTGGAAACATTATTTTCACATTCATAAGAAGCATTACCTATAATGGAGATGATTACTTGCAATGCATTACAAGTATTTACCAGTAATGTAACAGGAAACAAATACAGTGTGTGAATTATTCAAGTAATGTATTAGGTGTGACCCTATTGTGTTTATTTAAAACTATTATTATTATATATTAGTTGACTCCCTTCTGGGTAACTTCCCACATGAAAATAAGGAAAGATATTTGTCAGGATTTTATTCTTCAGTATTCCATTAAAAGAAACAAAACACCTTTGATAAACGGCCTCTGGGAAAGGAAGAAACAGAATGAATGAAGAGCTGCGAAACATTAATTGTCTCCATTGTATAAAAAGCAATTGTAAGACTGATAAGAAAAAGAATGTTTTCTGCAGTTTATAGAATGTTTTTGGGGAAGCCATTTGTTTCAATGTAACAGCTAGAACCAGACAGTGGCAACATGAAAACTAGCAAATATTATGGAGACCTATTTATTACTGACTCCAGAGTCTCCCTATGTAAGGTCCTGTTGTATTAATGGCATATGAGCCAAACCAGAAAACAATGTTAGTGGCTGTATATTAGACTGATAGACGCAGACAACTAGCACAACACATCAGTGGTTTACTATCTTCCTTGCCTGGTCATGATTTCAGTCTTGTTACAGTAGTAGTTCATGATAAATGTATTCTGAGTGTGAGTTCCCAAACGAAAAGTATTCAGACTAGATGCCTAAATCTAAGATTTAATATGTTTGTCCTGATTTGTCTTATTGTTTTACACAATGAGAGTTTTTATTTATGCAGATTACTTTCTATTTATCCTCAGCCCAGTAATTATATAGATCTACTCAGGGCAAACAGTTTTATGGAGAATACGATCACAGAAAATGACATAGATTACTTTTACTTCTGTGAAGATTCTCAGTCATCCAGGTGAGGTTATCTGGAATTTGAGTTCTGGCAACTGGACTTCTTTCTTATTAGGTTGAAATGTTTTGCTACTCATCCAAGTCTTAGAAGCGACTTGGATGAGTAGCAAAATGTTTCAGCCTAATAAGAAAGAAGTCCAGTTGTCAGAACTCAACTTCCACATTACTTTTACTTATGCATTTTCCTGGGATTTGAGGATGTTCACATAATTTAAAATTCCCTGCTTATCCCCACAGCTCAGTAATCCAGTAATTAAAATGTGATGGAATCTATGAGTATACATTAACTGGCTGTATATTGTCCCCCGGCTTATTTA